GACGCTGAGAGAAATTGAGTTATCCTGGAGAGAGGAAAAGGCAAACTTCCTGATGTGGTGTGAAGGTGAGAGGCATTTCTGTGGGTTGGTGACGAGGAACCTTGGCCCCATGATGGCGTCTCAGAACAGGCAGAGCACAGTGAATCTATGTCTTGTTTTGATAAATAATTTGGAGCAGTTATGCATTGGGCTGGCAATGAAGGAGTGGCCTGTGGAGTAGGTTTCAGCTGGGTTGAAATGAAGAGGCAACATCTTGAGTAACACTCCAGCTGACCCAGGATGTCGTCGTTTCCGTCTCTGTTGAGTTCTCTTTAGGGACAAAGCCAAATATGGTGGGTTTTTGTCCCACCATCAGTTCCCACTTCATTTTACTGGTAATACATATTGTCACTGGGTTTGTACCAGGGTCACGCTAAGTTTTCAACCGCCTGATGTCATCATTCTAACACTTTGGGGTTTTCCTTTTGCTTGGTGCACTGCAATGCCCTCTGTTTCACATCTGCCCACACTTCTCCTCCGGGCTTTGCAGGCTGCCTGTCACTTATGTGACAAAAAGGCACATTGTTTGTGCTCCTATACTTGTGGCCTCTAGAAGAAGGCTTGGTTCATTCCAGGATCTTTGTGTATTTTGATGTGCATTTTAAATACTTTGATAGCTTTACTCACTGTGACATTAATACAAACACAGCTGGCCTAGCATTGCTATTTTAGGAAGAATTTGATAGTTAAATAGCTTGAACATAAAGCTGTGACAAGTCTTTTAAAACATAAGAGAACAAAGAAATAACATTCTTGGATAAATACTTCAGAAAATATGTTCTACCCCTATATAGGGCTGCTTGTGTCCCTGCCATACGGGAGCAGTTGCCTGTTTCTCCCACACTCCTGAAAGTTCTCAGCTGTTACGTCTGAGTTCAGTGATTATTTTAATTTATAATGCTTGGCTTAATGTATCTTAAAACACATGTATTTGAACTAGAAACTCCCCAGGGACCTCATTCAGAACTAATTGCTCGCTGTTTGTGCGATTCTTCAAATCTGTAAAATGCTCTGTGAGGGCTTGGAATTACTCAGCTCCATGGTGTGTGGAGTTAAAGATGGGTTGGGGTTTCTAGGCGATGTGTGAGCACGGAGTTGGGGTGGATGGGAGCCTTTCTGGCTCTGCAGAAGCTGTATGGTTTTGGGGAGGTTAGCCAAGCTGGCCTACAGCTTAGATTGCCTGTATGGGAATCTAAGGACGATGATTTTATTTTTAATTGGGCTAAAAAGGAGCGTTGAAGGACTGAATGCAGAAGTGCTTCGAAACTGCAAAGGAAATGTATGATCAGAACCATTATTATTAGTACATTATTGAGAGAGGATTGAACTCGGATTATGTTTTCCCCTGTAATGGGCTGGGGAGAGATGAGCGGATTTCTGAAATAGCTCTGGAAAAGTCTTTTTCCTATCGTTTTGAGCACATTCCATCTGCTGTGAGCACATTCCTGCTTTATTTCCTAAACATCTTTCTCTTCTGTTTCTATTTTAAAGTTCTTTTAACCAAGATTTTACTTCCAATTACTGCTGCTAGGAGGGGTGCTGGGTGTGTTGCCCACATTTACCTTTCAGATGCTGCAGCTAATTGACCAGGAGGCAGTGGCAGTCCCGGCACCGTTTCACTGGTGCTCATCTGCCTAAATCCCTCTTGCAGCCTTTCAGTTACATCCCAGCCCTGGTGATTGCTTGTACTTTCCCCTCTCCTCCTCTTGTACTAAATGAGAGAGCTGCTGAATTCATGGGGTCGCATACATTTAAGTCTGGGATTGCATTTTAAAATAGCTGTTCCAACTTGGCAGGCTGGGGACACTTCTCTTACCCACTCCATTCAGTCCATCATGTTTCCAGCTTTATATTACCCAGTACATGGAGGGCACACTGCTTGTGGGAAAAAGCTCTGCTGGGGATAGCAAATGTATTCTGCAATCTAACTCGAAAGCAGCTTCCTCCATTCTGCATTTATAGGTGGAGAGGAGGGCAAGATTCACTCGTGAAGTAATTGTCATCGATTCCCTTTCTGAATAGCTTTGACACTACCCCCTCCATCCCCACCAGCTCTCTCTTCTGAAGATCTCACAGTCATAAGTGTCATGAAAGGCTGTGCTTGAGAATGTCACATTTCTCTTGGGCTCCCTCCAGCCCTAAAGAAGAGAGCATCATGAATAAATGGTCACCTCCTTTGTGGTACAGACTGTGAATACAGGTGGTAAATTTAAAGGACGTCAGACTTCTTTTTTTTCCAATCCATTCTGTGCATTGTTGCAGCTCCCTAGGAGATGGAAGAACAGCACTTCCCTGTAGTTTGTATGGGGAAAGGAGGTGTAAGGAAATGAAGCAATCCACCCAAGCTTGTCACTGAAGCCTGGCACATAGCAGGCAGTACACCCAACGCCTGGGCTCTCGCGTTGGCCATTCACCATCTCTGCTCCAATTCCTGTCAACTCCCAGTGGGTTTTCCCATTCTTTTCCATGCTCTGAGTCAGCAACTCTCACAGCTGTTTTGTGCCTGAGGATTTGGGGGCTGACTAAAAGACATGAATCACTTATCAGAAGAGTAGTAGCTCCGACCTTCCATACGTAGGCTGCTCGATTTGAATTTCTTGACTTTTTCCTAAGCGAGAATCTGAATTCACTTTTTTTTTTTTTTTATCTTCTTTCAACCTTTCTGGCTGTACTGATATCCAAAAATGCAAAATGACATCTTGTCTCAGCCCACCAGAGCAGACGCACTGCAAAGGATTAGACTGGAAATTTTCCTAAAATGCAGCATTTGGAGATGTTTTTGGAAAACAGAGCAGGGAAGCAGTGGATGTGATGTTCACTTGATGCTAAACCAGCAAGACAGTAGATGGATAGGCAGTGAATGAAGGCTGCAAGCGCAGTCAATGAGCTCCTCTTATGGAACAGTGCCCTGAAGGACGAGCCCAGCGGTGAGCAGGACAGTGGGAGAACCTCAGCTGCATTCAGACCCAGGAGAAGGAGGATGGAGCTGTACAAAGGTCCCACCTGGCTGTAGCCTGCTCCTGAACCATGTCCTGCTGGGGTGTTGAGACCCACCAGGCTCAGAGTGGAGCAGAAGACAGAGCGTGCTGTGGAGTGAGGGTATCCATAGTGCAGTGGGAGGGTGTAACAGGCTTCTGACAGATGGGAAGAGGCTGATGAATCCTGAAATCGTGGTGTAATCCAGCTGTCCTGGCCCCATGCATCTCCTGCCCTTCAATGAAACTTTTATTCACCAGGGCCTTGACTTGGGTGGAAAGCTGGGTTAGAGTTTTCCAAGCTTGTTGTCAAGAAAAAATTAGTAAAGTGAGGGGACAGTGGGGAGGTGAATTTGTTGAAAGTATATAATTTTGTCTGGGGAAGAGAAAATTAAAATAATATCCTTTTTTTTTTTTTTTTTTTTTTTTTTGATCCCCCTTAAGTGCAGTTGACTAAGTCTAAAGAAAAAAAGATGGGCTCCATTGCTGAAGGCTTGGTTCTTTCTCTCATGTAAACTACAAGCCCGTCTGAAATGAAGCTATGTAGGTGTTGTGCAGGAATGATTTGGTCCAGTGTAATTACTACAAAATAAATGAATGTTCCTATGGAAAAAAAGAAGAGGAAACGATACGGAAAGGGCACATAAGCTTTGAGGCATGTTGTCTGGAGATATGAATGTCTGCGGAGAAACACGAAGGAAACAATTAGAAAAATATCAAATGAAATTCTCTCCCTCCAGGAACCATTTTTCATCAGCTTGGTTATGCCAGGCATGGGTTTGGTCCATCACGTCAGGAAAGCCTCGCAGGGAGAAACATGGGCATCATAAAAGCAGGACAAATTAATTCCTTCTCAGAGGAAAAGACCACCCACTGAGTGCTGAAGTGAGTTTGATCCCGGACCACGAACTCAGCTGCAACTTAAAGGAGATTCTTAATCGAGTGGAGTGAGGGCCGACTGGCCACGAGGCTTTGGGGCCAATCCATCACAACTCACTGTTAAGTAACGCTTCATGTCACAGCAGTTGCCGTTTAATTCCACCATACAACTAAGAGGTCCCTCTTGGCCTTGCTTTTAATTAATTAAGTCACAGTAGTGGCGAACGCGGCACGATAGCAGTTGCTTTCAGCCTAATTGTTCTCCAGGCATATTTGCAGCACTCCTGTCGAAATCCCAGGCTTGTTTCTGGAGTCAAGCTGCACAAATGAACTTCCTGCTATTAAAAGCAGTTTGTTTCCTATTCCTTAGCAATCTGTTCCTAATGCAGAGCCCCGCTGGAGCGTGGACTTTTTTTTTTTGTTCAAGCAAATGGCAAAAAATTGTGATGTTTACCAAGTACTGCATGCTTTTAGTGCTACCTGTGCTTGGGAAGTTAAGGTTTTTCATGTCAACACACTATTTCCATCAGAAAGTTTTGCATACTCCATGTGGTAGATCCCAGTGCAATGGCATCATTATTTCCAGCCTGGGTCCAGGGTTTATCCTAACACATTCCTTCTCTTCTCTTCCTGTGCTGTGGTCTTTGAGCAGCAAAGCACATTTTTTCCATGCAAATTCCCCCTAATATTAAGAGCCACCTCACTCCCAAAGGTTTGCAGGCAGGAGGATCTACTTTATATCACAGTGCTCTGAACCTCCATCTCAGACTGCAGGACAGACGCAACAAATTAAATCAACTTATGCTTAGTCACATCTGTTTCATTTGTATCAAACTGGTGCCACTGAAGCAGAAAGCATTCTTATTCTTCGTTCTACACTGTTCCAGCTGAAAATTAACCACCTTTGCGTATAATGAAACTCATACTTCATCTGTTTAAAATAATTGGGCCTGTTTTATTTTTGAAGCAGGCTGACTTGCAGTTGCAATGTATCAGTCTATTACTAATGCAAGAGGGAATATTTCCTCTTTCATCTCCTCTGTTTACCTCTGTGGATTTATTTGTATGGGGTCTGTAACTAAGGAGATCTCTGTGGTTCTCCAACAGAATTAAGACTGCCCCAGGTGTGAAGATCTTGGACGTCAGAGTCAGTGATGCGGACCAGTGGGGAGTTCAAGAGGAGACTGACAGCGCCAGGACCACTGCCACGATCACCTGCATGCACAATGACCCGGACCCTGAAAGCAGGTAGGCTCCTCTGTGCATTAACTCTTGCTGAAATGCTGATGGAAACTTTTCTGATGAGTACTATTGCTCTTTTGACAGTAGCATTTGCTCCTTCTTGTCTGTGTTGGAAGAACTATAAGTGCTGTGATTAGAGCTTTGTTCCTTTTGTTTCGCTTCTGAGCTTGAGAAATAGATGGCTGAGTGTAACTAGAGGCAGCCAACTCGTCCTGGCTCACATTTTCTTTTCTTGCACCTTAAGGGCAGCAGAAGTCCCTTTGCCAAAGAGCCAATGGATAAATAAATGGATTAGAATAGAAAAATATGGAGAATAATTGAGAAATAATCGAAATAGGACAATGCTGTCTCTTTTATTTGAAAAGCTGCAGAAGTAATAGCTATTAAGTGTTCTTTATTAATGGTGCAGAACACCTATGAGTATCTGTGAACTGTCTAGTGAATGCTGGGTGCATTTGTTATGGTAATGCTCCCGCCAGCTATATCAAACATAATGAGAAATTTATATTGTTAGTCAGAATTATGTATTTGACAATACAAGCAATTTCTCTTCATTATCATGCAGTTACTGTACATTTAGAGTACACTGTGCATACATTTAGCATTAAATTGCATCATAATTAGAAAAGCACAAAACTTTTTGTCAAAACTTTGATTTGAGGAGCCTTCTGCACCCATTCTTCCTGAAAGCTCTTTGTTTAGAGCTAGGAAGATTATTGCCAAAGGTTTGGCATGCAAAGTGTAGTTCTGCTCTGTTGAACTTCTGGAGCTGTATTTGGGGAGCAAAGGAGTTCTGGGTACCTGCAGTATGAGTGCTGAGGTGAGAGCTATTTACCTTGGGTTCACTTTTCAGTGACAAAAAGGAATACTGCTGGATGTGTAAAACAGGCCTTGTGCATGGCAAACTGAAAGCTCCTGTTTCTCTCCAGTAAGGATGGAGAGTGGAGGTGACTGAGTGGGATGTGGGCATTTGCTTTGCAAACACACAAAGCGAGGGGAGGCAGTTCCTATGCGTTTAGTCTCTTAAGTGATGCAGAGTTTTCTGGCATTAAAAGTCACAGAAACACTTCAGTTTGTTACCTGCTTCATGCCTTTCCTGCCCACTGAAAAACAAACAACATCAGCAGTAAAGATTTCCCTCTTGTTTCCATTCATCGCAGTTGCAAGTCTGAATTTGTGCTGTTGCAAATTGTGGCTGCCTCTCATTCTTTATTTTTTTTGCTGGGGTTCCGTGAGCTCCTGCAGTGGTGAAGCAGGGCTCTGGCGGCTGGAATAAGCTTTGCCACCAAATCCTTTGTCTTTCAACTACATTTCCTTACTCTTCCAATGCCTTTGACCCACTGGTGGTGGAAAGCTCATGGTATGGTGGCTCTGGGGTTGGGGGTGCAGCGCTGGCCCCAGTGTGAAATGCTGAGGCAAGAGGAAGACTGAAGATGCTTTGGTGGGACAGAGGAGACTTTCTACCTAATGCAACTGTTTTTTTTTTTAAGGTTAAAAAAGAACAGGCAAGGTACTGAAACTTACTGCCTTGTACGTGGTTTCACTAATCCATGGAATTATACCTGTCACAGTAACTTACTTTTTATTAAAACTGATTTTTGCTTTGTATTGAACTGTTAAATTGCACAAAAGCAAGGAATCTCGAGTTAATTAATACTTTGACCCTTTCCTTTGTGAGATTAGTTTTAATATTTTTGGATTAATTAAAGTATGCAAATGGAAACTGCTGAAAGATCACTTCCAGATTTGCAAATACTGTAGTGCTTAGAGTAAATATTTAGCTTTGATTTTTACTTTACTTTGCCTTTTTGGTCATAGCAGTGGCCCTCTCGTTTCTTTTGGAGAATGTTAAGTGTTTCGTAGGGATTCTGATGCTTTGTGTAAACAAGCAGAGGCTTGAACTTGCTGCTGCTGAGGTCAGTGTGGCAAAACTGCCTGTGAGAAACTCAGGGAGCTTTTTAAGGGCAGTTTATATGTGAGCAGAGGTTTGGTGAAAATGAGAACCATCCTGCCATGTCTCTGCTGCACTGCTGATGTCTGTCTGTCCACTGCTCTGCACTTGGGCTGCTCCCTCCTCCCCAGTGCATGACCCAAGTAAGAGCCTGCAGCATTCCCTGCTGCAAGGAGAGCTGCCCTGTTGGGCTGCAGTGTGGTGGCAATCCCTTCTCCATTCCCTTCAGCCGCTGTTATTGGTGGGAGCCTTTTCAAACTTGCTTACTTTCCTAATCTTCTCCTTCTCCCCTCTGCAATGTTATCGTTATCATGAGGTTTTCATCTCCGTTTCTCACATTTCCCTACGCAAATTGAGTGTTCATTAAAATGGTTTAAATTAAGACCTTTCCTCCTTTCATGCGGAGTGCATCGTGCCTTTTCTGTGCATTACTTTTTTAAAAAATAATCCTTATCACAATGTTTCAGGCAGTTTACATTATATTCTATTAAAAATCCATTTTGTCCAAGCTTGTCACAATTCACAGATTAAAGCTTCGCAGAGTGTGTTTTGTTAGGAATACATTCATAAATTCACCTCTTTAGTCGTCCCAGAAGCTTGTATTTAAAACCTCTTTTGATAACGTAGTTGAACAAAGGGTATAAAAAGATTTATTTTAAATATACACAAGTATATTGCATGCACCTATTCTGCTCTGTGCAGAGCCTTGCTTTGCCCCCATTGCTGTCATCTCAAAGGAGCTTTTTGGGAGCTCATTCAGCAAGGAGATGGGTTGTCCTCCGTGCTTATTCTCTGCTGGGGGCGGAACTCCATGAATCTCATTGAGGGAGACTTAGTTGGATCAGAAGTTTGTTGCTTCAAAAAGATACAGTTTCTACTTCAAGCACACTCCTGGATGATGCCTGCAGCTGGGAAAAGGTTCATAGGAAAGAACCTTAATGGATTTCTGTGCAGAGTGCAGAGTGCGTTTTGCAAAGGAGCAGAGGAAGTCAGGGCTGGCAGGCTTAGAAAAGAGTCAGGAGCTCCCAGCTGTCCATGCAGAACAGCTGTATGCGTGAAGGACTGGCAGCTTACCCTGTGCTGTAGGGTGACATGTTGAATTATTGCAAGCTGCTGTGCCCCATAACTTTGCAGTGATATCCAGAGGCATGGTATAGCAGGAACTTTGCCCGTGATCCTGCTTGTTTTAGGATTGGCTTATTTCAGACCGCTGGTGTTCTCATTTGAAAGGCCCCACAAAGCAAAATGTTTCTTGGTGCTGGTTTCTGCTTTGCTGGAAAGCTGAAGGACGGCACCTTGGTGTGACCTGACCTTTGGCTCACAAGAACGAGGCGGACAGACTCAAAAGTTGAGGCTGAGAAGTGGCCGCTCTCCTTTGGAAGGGAGTATAAGAGACGTCGTTCTCCTCACTCAGGATAACTGTCATTACATTTTATTGGATTATTAGCTGAGGGGGAATCTAATTCCATGACAAAGTAGTCCTTTAATCAGAAAGGTTGTATTTATGCTAACTGGCGAAGTTACTGAAATTGATTTCACCTGCAGGCTGAGCATAAAGTGACCAAACCTCTTCTCACTCAGGGGTTATTTTATCTCCGTGTCAATAATGCAGCTTCCATCTCTCAGAATATCCATCACTGCATAAATTAAACTTGTGTGAGGGACGCTCAGAAGGCAGAAATAGGGAAGCTGAAAGCTTCAGAGGTTTCTTTAAGTTTCTGTCAGAACTATTTGTTCTGCTGCATGGACAATTTATATCTTTTTTAATTGATGCAGACCAACTCAGCTGTTCGGCGTTTGACATTATCTATCTTCAAACTTGAATAAAAAATTAATATTCTGCAATGATATTCCATTTCTCTGCCATTTTAAAAAGTGTTCAAAGAATTCAAATAATTTAAATGACTTTAAAAAATTATAACCATAGCGTGTGCTATGTATCTTTATACATATGTATCTTTCAATCAGGGAAAGCAGTTATTTCATGTATTTATAGGTATGCAAATAGAGCCCGCTGTTTTGAAATAATTCACTTCTTTTTTTTGCACTTGGGAATGCCCTTTGAACCTGAAATCTCAGGAGAAAAGAAAAAAAAGAAAAAAAAGATGTGAAATTGGCTGTCAGTTAAGATATGGGCATGTATTTATTTAAAGTAAATCTGTGTTATTGGAGCTGATGAACTGAGCAAAAATGTTGTATCGCTTGGTTTTGTTTTTAAAGCTTGGCCCTGGACCGAGGTAGGGGAGGCAGAAAGAGTGTGAGCTCCTGTCCTTGGGCACTGCATCCATCACAGCAGCCTTGGGTCTTTGGGAAAGGAAGGTTTTGCTTGAAAAGGAAAAGAGGAGCTGAAGGTGTGGGCAGAAGTCGCAGACTGTGCGGTGCAGTGTACTGCCTTGGGTGTTCCTCTGCTATTCTTATGCACTTGCTGCTTTGCTTAGGTCAGAAGTGTCATGGGCAAAGAAATGTGCTTTGAATGTGGGGTGAGGGTGGCCTGTAGATCCTGTAGGAGTTCATTCTCTGGCCTTGGCAAGACCCCAAGGCTGCGCTGTCTCTTGAGCCATTGATGAAGAGAATTTTTATCTTCAACGTGCCGGTTTTAAGGTTGCGACCTCTATTATGAGTGATGGAGTCTGCTCTGCTTTGTGTAAAGAGTGTTCCACTGAGAAGCATCCACACACATTTTCAAACACAAATGACTCAATGGTGTCACACAGAAAACCCGATAAGAAGAATTTTAACTAACCTTTATTCTTTACATGTGTGCCTTTTTGTATGAAAGAATCCAAGCAGGCTTGGAAATGTTTCAGTGAGATAAAAGCGCTGACACCTCTCAGTAGCTTAAAGAGGACATAAAAAATAATAGACAATTAACAGCAGTAGGAAGGACCACTTAGTGTAGAAAGCTGCGGTTTTAGGATCAAATGGAAATGTATCATTTCAGGAGGATATTTTCTTTCTTTTTTTTTTCTTCTTCTTTTCGTTCAAGGCTAAGAACAATGAAATTGTCTGTCCATCTCCTGTTGGGAGCCTAATAGCTTGATAACCACATGATTCC